ACTGCAAGGACTCGTCCAAGCAGTCACTGCAGGGTCAGCAATGACTGACCGCAGACAAAAAAAAATAATAATCAGGAATTCAGTAAATCAAATATTGCTTCATAACAAGAAACTCAGCATCTGCAGGTAATAATATATGGCTGGTGATCTGAGTTCACTTTGACTGATCACAGGTTGTACCAACTGATATATACTTTTGTGATGGTAAAAAGTGTTTTATTGCTAGAAACAGTATATTTAAATGTTAGATATCATAGGAAGAGAGACATGGTAGCCAAAAATCAGACATGCTCTATGGTAGCCAAAAATCAGAAGGAACCTGCTAGCACCTTTTCTGACTAACCCAATTTATTAAAATATAGAAACTGTTGTGAGCTACAGCTCATTTCATCAAATGCATGGAGTCACTTAATTGATGTAGGATTTAAACTGGGATAAGTGAGAGGAAGATAGGTTGGTTATCAGATGCAGATTACATGTGCTACAAAATTACAAGTACCTTATCAATTAACAATTGTAAAGTATTAAAAACCCATTGTGTTTGTTGAGACATTTTGAGGCAGCCAAAAACCCTTTGATGTATGTGAGTTCAGCAATCTCTTAATCATGATGTTAAAATATTTTTCTTCCAAAATGGTAACTTTGACATCTGCAACAGAATGTCCTGGGAGCTTGAAATGTTCTGATGTTACTTTGTCCTCATTTTGAGTCCTGATGTCAAACTTGTGTCCAAATTTGTGATATATGCCATCATCTGGTAGCAATGCCCCTCTGGATTCCATGCAGGACAGACAGGACAAAGTTTGCACAGAATAATTAACAGACATGAGTTTGACATCAGGACTCAAAATAGGATTGGTAAAAACTGATTATCATTTGGAATAGCTGGAATCAGTTCTCTTTTCTCTCTCTCTCTCATACGCGCACACACAATCTATTAGGGGGCAGTGCACTGTTTATTGGCTGTTAGGGGGAAGAAAAAAGAATTTGGGAAGCAAATTGGAATGCATGTGCATGTTCTGTAACAAGATTTGTTTTTTTATTTTCTTTTTGTTACCTTTTCTTGACAACTTTTAGAGGTGTGAATATGATTCTTCTATTCCAACTTACTCTCATAATAGCTGGCAATTGGTTCACTGGTGGCTGGCAATTGCTTCAATCTATAAACTGAGCAGAATTTCAATCTATATTTCTTTCCCCATTTCACATTAAAATCTACTCTGACAATTACATCACAGTAGCTTGCCAGTGCCTCCTGGAACAGTAAAAGGCTAGTGACTGTTAGGATGCTCTACCCTATAAAATATCTTCTGGGTGTGAGTTTAGAGAATGTTGACAGAATTTTGTCAGTAGAATAGAATCGAACAGCCCACTCACCTTAAGACTTTCAATCCCCTTGTTAGCAGGTTTGTGTCTTTTCTCCTCCTCCAGATGTGGGATATCTAACCGGACCACTTCTGGTGGCATTGCAGAGGAGGGGTGTTTTTTCTGGGTTAAAAAAAATGGAGAAAGTGTTGAAACCTGAGGCATTTTTTTGGTCTTTTTTTCTTTTCTGAGTTATGGTGCATTCCACTTCTGATGGGCTCTATTAGTTCCATCCATTTTCTATAAAAATCTCTTGCCGCTCCCAGGATAGTCTGATGGTTATCTTGAGACTTAATTTCATCACCAAGTTATCCCAGATCCAGTCCAGCGAGACTTCTCTCTTAATGCCTAGAATTGGGGATTGTTTTGTTTTCTTGGGAGAGCTAGGTAGAATACAATCTGATAAAGCAGAATCATATTGCATGCTTGCCACAAAAGTTGAAACAGTGGTTCTCCTCTTCAGTTTTATTTTTTTTTAAATCATAAAATGAAAACTGGAGGCCAAAACATGGCTTCCCCTCTAAATCTGCTGCCTGAACCAATTGCTTCACAGTGCTCTCTGGTAAGACAGGTTTTCCTTTGGCTGGCAAGTATATTTTGCCTGCTTTATGCCAGCGTCTTCCAGCTGTCGGACTCAGGAACCTCCAGGTCCCATCTTTTACATCTACATTTATTGCCTGGGTCCCAAGTAACCAGCTTTATTTGGCCTTAGATACTTACTTTCTGCCGATCTTCTTCCAGTTTCAGCTTCTGTTCAACCAGCTCCGTTGCCCATTTTATTCTGTGGTCCATATCCATCTTTGTTTGTCCAGGAATTGTAAATCTTCTCACCTACTCCTCAGATCCTGACTCAACTATCTTCCTGATCTTTTACACCGTACTCTCTGATATCTCCACTTGCAGTCATTGATATTAAGATGTATGTCCTGCCTCCAGGTGCCTTTGTCATGAGCTCAGTCTGTCACATTCTCTCCCTTTCCACAAGTCATATTTCTAAAATGATCCTTTAACAGTCACACATCTCTGGCCAATCAGGAAGTGAACACAAAATTCCCTGAGCTACAGAGGGACATGAGGTTTTGGCAGAATATTTTTAGTCCCATATAGGTGGGTGTGCTCCCTCTGGTTAGATTGGGGATAGAGTTTATGGCTTTATGCCTGGATGGAATTCTCCATAACTACTTATGAATCATTACTATGTCTGGTAGAATTATCTAATATATATCATAGAAGCCATCCCCAACCTGGCACCCTCCAGATGCGTTGGGCTACATAGCCTGAGCACACCAGCTGAGGACAACAGATTTATAATTCAACACATCTGAAAAGTACCAAATTAGGAAAGCTCCCTATTTATTTTAAAATGCTACCTGCTATGGGAAAGCACTACATGTGACATCCCAGCCCCTGGGGTCTGCCAGAAAAGAGTTTGCCAACCTGCCAAGCGTCTAACTTAGTCACAAAGCCTGGAATAGTGAGCATGGAACAGTATGAATAATATTGGGTGAACTGGGGGCAGATGAGAGGACACTAGGAAGAGTTGAGCTGAGAGCTATTTATAGTGATGGACACAGTTTCTGTGCCCCCCTCCCTTTTGTACTGACAGCAATGCTGCTTCAGTAATGGGATGTTCCTGCATGTACAAAATGGGAATCCTTTTTTCTAATAATCACTCAGAAATTACTTGGGCAAGTTTCTTTCCAACAACTGAAGACAGCTTACATGGGGATGCAGGGCAGAATGAGCTACTAGGGAAGGGAACAGGTTGATTTACCAAACATGCAGTATCTTGAACCATTTTACAAGGCTTGAATCTGCTTAACATCCTTTTTACTACTATCCCAGTTTCATGAGATGAATGGTTCTAACCACAATCAGCCTATGTTTCCTAATTCCTATCTGCACAATAAAAACAAGACCACATACTACATATATTTTATAAGTAGATTAAAAATCTGGTAACTTTTTCGGTTCCACAGAGTGAACTTATCACCCCTGAAGTTCTTTATAACTTGTAATCTTACACTTCGGGTATTTTAAAATTAGTTTAAATTTCTGAAAATGTAACTTTTAAAGCTATATGAATCAGAGGCAAAGTGACTGTACTAAATATGTTGATGACAGTTCATACCCACAAGTTTTGAAAAAATGTAAAATGTCTGTACAAATTAACACATCTAAATATTAACAACTGATGTGAGGTTCTAGGGCACAGTAGGTATAAGTCTATACAAAATTGCCATCTTAAAATAAAGAATGCTAGGTAGCATCATGTGAACTGGTACCATGTTTGATCTTTTATCAATCAGGTAATTTGCCCCACAAAAAATGAACAAGTTGATCTGTCATTCAGGCTCACCCTTTGCTATTCCCCCTTATTTGCACTTAGCAGGTGAGCAATTTAAACCTGTGTACAGAATATCATACATTCTTCTTAATTTAAAAAGAAAAAGGCTGGTGAACCTTGTACTCACTATATTTTTATACAATGTTCTATTTTTGCATTTCTCTGGTCTCAAGGTCTTCTATATTAAGTGTTATACACCACCCAGAGTCACTTTTTTTGTGAAATGGGCAGCTATATAAATATGATCAATAAATAAAATAAATAAAAAATGTCCCAAACACTTGCACCCGAGGCTCAAAATAGACATTAGCATTGAAACATGGGGTTCCAACCTGTTCTCTTCACAGTCCTATCGTGCTGGAATATATATTTTTTCCTACCTTGATTTGCCCCTGCAAATGGAAACAAGCCTGTTAAAAGCTTGGAGGAAGATGGTAGAATATAGAATATATAAATAGCCCCTTTCCCAGGTGGAGATTGTTCCCTACATATGTTTTTATTACCCTGCACTCTTATCACACCTAGATCACATACATTTTACTATATGTAGATCCCAGGTTTCCTCCACATTCTCAAAGCAGCTTACATGGCTTTCTCCCATCTCTACACAATTTATTGTTGCAGCAACCCTATGATGTGAGATGGGCTGAGCGAAAGTCATTCCCATAAGCTTCACAACTGACTGAGGATTTGAACCTGGATTTCTCTAGCCCAGCACCCTAATCATACTACAAGGTAGCCATATTTTTCTGGAATTTCACATTCCTATCTGTCTTGTCTTATGCAGACTGTCATTTCCTTTCTTTGAGCACTGTGTTACAGTTACAAAGGCCAATCCATCCTACTGACAGTTTCTCTCTGGCAAGATATAACTATCCCTTCACCACACAATAATTGCTGACATGAAGGAATGTAATTAAATCCCCACTGAATCAGGCACATGGCTAGCTGGAAAAAGATTTTATTGATAAATTACACTAAGACCCACATATATGATCCATCCTCCATTCTCCATATATCACACCTTATCTGGATTAGGGGCTGTCCATAGATCTAGGATGAGCTGAGTCGTAGCACAATCATCCTTGATGAACCAAACAGGGCTAACCTCAGTATAGGCAAAAGTCTAGATATGGGGAATCAGCCCTGGCAATTGATTTGTTTTGGGCCCGAGGCAGTAGTCTCTCATGTGAGAGACACTTTGGTCTCAGACTTTCTCTAAAAGCTTTCAGTACTCAAATGGCAGGAGCTACACTGAGTCCCTGAAAAGGACTAGACCCACAATCCATCATTTCAGGCTTAAAGTCCCAATGTGGGCAACTCCAACTGGAGTGGAGTTGAAAGGAAAAGAAGGAGGCATTGTTTCGGTGCCAGCCGAGCCTAGAAATGGGTGAGGATATCTAATTCTTTGGAGTTTGGGGAAGGTAAAAAACTAGCCCAGATGGTCATGAGAAACAAACCACTGGGAGAAACAGAAACCACTTTGAACATTGCACATCTGTGCTATTGTCCAGCTTACTGACTGTGCCCTGCAGCGAGTGAGCATGTGCAACTTTTCAAAGGCTATGGCAGATTCTGCCAGCCTGCTTGTAAGTACACCATCCGCTTCTCTAGATGCATAGAACAGACACGTGCTGTCACAGGTTTATGCTCAGTCTCTGGGTCAGACTGGGGGCCACACCAACTATCTCTAGCTCAGTTCCTCGGTGTAGGGGGTTGATTGACAATTACTTGAATTACAAAGTCTTTCTGGATTTTGGTCTCCTGCAGGCGGGTCCTATCCGTCAGCAACTTGCCAGAGAAAAACCAGCGTTGCCATGTAGGCTCCAGTCCTTCCTGGGCATAGAGTTGCTTCTTAAGTTGTCCAATTGTGTCTGTCATGCTAGCATTCACACGCAGATCCTTGCCAGATGAGAGGCGCACTTTCAGTGGGAATTCACGGCGGGTGTTGGGTGCTGGCTCTGGAGGTTCTGCACCCTCCTCCTCACTCCATTCCATAATCAAGTTAACAGGTGGTGCCAGGCAGTATACAGGAAGTTGGTATCGGTTACCCAATTCATCATAGCACTCAGTAAGTGAGCCTGTAAGGGAGTGAATATACCATTAGAGGGCGTGAGAAGCTTAAAGAAAAAAATCACAATTATTTTGAAACCATCTTAATTCTAAACTAAAAACTTTCAAATGTAAGCTTTCAATTTTCCTTTTCAGAACTTGGTTTCTTTCCTGTCTTTGCTGTTGAAACTGATGTGACAGACACAAATGTACCTATGTACTCAGGTCCTAGTCCTAGTGAACTATTGTCCTTATATCAGAAGTAAATGTGATGTAGAGCCCCATGAAGGAGTCAAAATACTTCTAAACCCTTAGAAATACCAGAAATAAATATTTTGTAGCAGCCAGCCTGTTTCTCATCATATAGACACTACCAAGTGTCCTTGTACCAAGGAGACACAGCCAATCCTGCTTACTCCTATAAACACAGAGTTATGAGCATGGATTTGCTCCATACACATATTATGGTTGCAAATGCATGTGTTTTTATTTTAGTAGAAGGAAAAAGAGTTGATTTGAGGAGTAATATCCTTCAATTTCTAACAAGTTAGCACACCATTTCTGTTCTGCACTGGGGGACATACCATGAGGCAAAGTAACTCCAGCACCATCAATAATGGCTTGTGCTAGCCCATGATCATTTGCCTCCACAGCATAGGCAGCAGCCTTGAGTGCATCCCAAATCTCCTTGCGTCCCTCAAAGGCAGGTGCTGTATCCCAGAATTCATCCCGCTTGCTTCTTAGTTGCCCATCTGTCATTGGGTAATCGCTCTTCCACTTGGGGCGATCCTTTTTTAGAGGTTCATTACGACCTGCAAAGAGAAAGGGATACTTCAAAGCAGGAATCTTCTAAACCCCTAACTATACCTTCTTACAACCACTGCTTCATCTTTTTACATCAAATGCTGACAAGTTGCACCATTCCTTGAGGTTGTGACAGCTATTTCTGGTTAATTTATTAAAGTCTCACTACTTTATCAGAGATAGAATTAAACCCTGACTGAAGTTTTTCTTGAGATATATATATGTAGTTACGCACACAAACACCTTTTATGAAAAAGGAAAGCTTTAGTGTTTTTCAAGACTTCCCATGTCTTGATCTGAATTTACTCATTTTTCCTCAACTCCCATAAAATCCTGCATTCTTCACCTTACATTTTTTTGATTCTCTTCACTGTTTCTGTTTTTCTTTCTTATCTGCGTCATCCAAAAACTGCCCAATGATTTAGCAGAGGAACAACTAATATAAAACAGAGTGCTGCACAACTGGATGAAATAGATTTCTCAGAAAGATGAGATCATTACTGAATGAGAAGCAGTATTAGTGACAATGTTTGCCTTTGTTGTTTGAAGCAATGAGTGCAGTGTACATCAATTTTGTAGAGATTATAGCATCTGATGTTACTAAGAACACCATAAAGTATAAATTAAACCAGCCTTCTCCTATTTTGTACTTTCCACATGTGCTGGATTTTTTTCTCCCATAATTCTCAGCCAACATTATGGGGGTTATGGTAGCTAAAGTCCAACACATCTGGAAGGCATCAAGTTGGAGAAAGCAGGACTAAATTTTCTGTAAGACTCTGTTAAAAAGGAGAATTGTGATAAGAACAAAATCACACAAACAAAAATTGACATTTAAATAGGATACGACATTCTCTAATCTTGTCCACCCAGATAGATTGGGAGGAATTCTGGATGTTGTAGTCCCAACCCATCTAAAAGCATCAACTTAGGGAAGACTACATATGAAGTTTAGCCCAGGAAAGACTGAAAAATGCATACATGGATACGAATTAGTTCAAACAGAAGTGGACAGACTTCAGACTGATAGTATCAATATTATTTTTTTTTAGGAAAAAAAAAATACCAGAACACTGAGATTTACTAGCTACAGGCAGACAAAAAATGGGGGCTCATAGGTAGAATCAATTATTTACAGCAACCCAACCATGTAATGGTGTGTATGTGTGTGTGATTGTGCATCTTTTCAAGAACAGGAATTCTTTTAACATTACAAAAAGTCCTGGTCAAAAGCAATAAATAAATACTCCTATTTCACAGATCAGGATTGCTGAGACTGAGGTAAAGAATAAATGCTAAGGTCAACAGGATTTTAAAAAGAATGCTGTGTGCTAAAAAAGAAGGTGCTACTCGCATCCCTTGGTATATGCTCAGCTAAGGAAAACTAGATGTTGAAAAAGATGTGGCAACAGTTCAAGTATTAAAAGTACAATTACTGAGAAAGTGATAAAATTCACTGCTAAGTATAGAGTACTGAAAGACAGAGCTTTGAAATGCCAAATCATATGACAGTATCATTCAGGACAGGACATTCAGACACAGCCCTTAAGTCAACCCCAGTCTGGAATTATTTTTTAATTTCTTTTAAAATTATTTATTTCTTCATTATCAAAATAGTTCCAAAGGGGATCTTTCAGTACAATTCCATTTTAATGGCAATTTCCCTTTAGGCGGTGCTTGCCAACCCTTTAAGATTTCAGATGGCAGAATTTCTAGCCAGTGGCTGTTTCCAGCTTAGCCTAACGTATACGGAGGGCATTAGATTGGAGAAGGGACCAGATAAAAAATGGTTAGAGAGGGGAGTGGTGGAGAAGGCAACCCCCCCCCCTAATTTATAATTGCTAAACGCAACTGAAAGCAGGGGGGGTAAGGCAGAGTTGCTACAGCAGGGAGAGCAGTTCTGTGACTGCCTTTGCTGGCCACTCCCTCCCCCACTGCCCCATCTCCTTGCTCCCTTCCACAAGGCTGCTGTCCCTGTGATAAGGGAGAGGTTAGCTGAATGGATTCAAGAATAGGCATGTGATGCTGTGTCTTCCTTTACCTCCCTCTCCTGCTCCTCTCACACAGGGCTCTTGTTCTTCCATGACTGCTGCAGTGGGGGAGGGGCCCCTTGTAATTGCTCTGAAGATTGCTAGCTGAGGAGACCAGGGATGCAATAACAGCCAGCTGCAAACAGAGGGAAAAACCAAAGGCTGCCTATTGCCTGCATTTTAAAATCCCTTTCCAAACAAACATACCTATTATCTAGAGAGGGAGGTGAATAAGAGACACTAGGATCAAATGTCTGATATTCTATGGAGCCCAGCTGACCAGAGATGCCTCGCATATTCCTCATTCTCAGCTGGAACA